CTATAGCTTTAAATTCATCGATTTGTGTATTGGAGGCTTGATTTATTGATATTTTCTGCAGCAATAAACAGAAGCTATGATCCTCCTTTGGAGTTTTTGCAGGACTCGAAGGGAAAAAGAATTTCCCTTGAACGTTCAGGGATTCTGTTTGACACATGATCAAATGTGAAATGTAATCACAGATCATGTAGGTCTTTTAAGATGTCTGCACATGTTGCTTTTACTGAATTAGAGGTGATCTGGACAAAGCTAAAAAGCTGTAAGGTTTACATCTGAATAGGCAGACCTCTGTTGTGCTCCATCCCTCCATTGTTTGCAGGTCATATTAAAGCCTGTCTGAACGTGTCATGGAAAAATAACATGATTATGTTGCTTTACTTATTCACATTTTCCATCAATCCATGATCTTCTGCTCATATTTTGCCTTTTTTTTAAGATAACAAAGCTGCACACATCGAGTACTTTTAAAACCATGTCTGTTTACATATAGAGCTAATTTAATGAATTAAATTCCCTTCAATGAAATAACAGCCTTTAAGACAGTATTACACTTTGTTACTGTTGTTTCAGTGCACATATAGTTATAATAATAATAATAATAATGAATTTAATTTGTAACACACTTTACATTTGACTTCAAATCTCAAAGTGCTACATTTAAAAAAAGGGAAAATAAAACAAGTTTAAAATACCATAACATTAAAAACAGAGTAAAAAGACAATCATTAAAATCAATACACAAAGGCATAAGTAGCCTATTAAAAAAATCTAAAATCAACAATTGTAGGCATTTCTAAAAAGGAAAGTTTTCAGTCCATTCTTAAAACAATTCACCGTCTGTGGGGCCCTAAGGTGGTCTGGGAGGGCATTCCACAGACGGGGAGCTGCGGCTTCGAAGGCCCTATCTATGAAATCAGCTGGTTTACTTTAGATAAAAAGATGATCTGACTGAATAGTCTCTATAAAGGGCCATGAGAGGACATGCCTTGTGAAATTATGCTGTATAAATATAATGGATTAAATTAAATCTGAATTTAGTTTTTCCCGCTTGTTTCTTATTTTGTTTTTATCTTTAGTTCTGGGTAAAATGAAAGTATTTCTTTTTTATTTTCTTTGTTTATATAGTGCATGTTGTAACAATGGATGAAGCAGTGGAGCATCATATGTATATATATATATACATATTCCTCCTAACTGTCAATCATTCTACTGATATGTTTTTGTAATGTCGTCCTACGTGCTCGGCCCCATTTTTCACTTCCACATGGTGAGTCTGACATAGTGGAAAAATTTAAAATCTTCTGGAAAGTAAACTTGTATGAGCGATGCAAACAGCAACTTTTAAAAAGAGCGTGCACGAGGGGAAATGGGCTCATGCACGCTCTCACACACGTTCAATAGGAGTTCCCTCTTGGGAGAGGGTATAAGGTTGGAGAAGGTGGGTCTTTTCAAAGATTTGCAAAAATCCTCCATTTACCTTTAATATTGAGGCTCTTCTTCAAACTTAGTGGCTCCATGATAAATTTCTCAGATTTAAGCCAAAAACAACAACAGTGGACAAAAAGCAAGACCTTGAGGGTTGAGTGTTGATCTTGATTTATACTGTAAGTGTTCTGTTCCAATAAATTTGTTAATTTTGTTTTGTTTGTATTTTTCTTGTAGCAATTCTAAATATTATTGAAATTATATTTACTTTTCAACATTTTAATAGCTATAAACTCTGTGCAGAACATTAACTGCACTCTGGGTGCAGAACCACTTGATCATCCATTTCACTATTCATCCGACTAAGTCACAGAAGTAAGAAGTTCTGGACAGAAACCCAGGCATCCCGCTCCAGGTTCTGGCTCTTTCTGGTGGAATCTTGTCTCTGAAATATGCCTGGTAAACCAACTTAGGTAGGATGTGATCTCTGCTCTGATTTCCATCGGCTTATTTCAGTTTGTTGCAACAGGAATCTAGTTTTATCAGTCATGATCTATGTCCAAAAACTATATGCGAGTGCTACATTGTAGACAGGGCAGTGGATCTAGACTTTAGCTTCATGGCTTAGCTCTTTTCTTCACCCTAACACTGAAATCCATTGCCCCAATCCGTCTATAAACTCCCTGCTGCTTCATCTTATCACTGCTGAAAAAGACCCCAAGACAAAATGTAGAACTAACAAAGCATGAAAATACAAGCGCTTAAGATTAAAACATTTCTTTATTGTTGCTGAGCAGGCACAGATTAAGACCTTATCTTGTTTTTTTAATCATCCACCGATCTCTTGTTCTCACTTATTTCACAGACTTGAAAGCAGAACTGTGGCCTAAAGTTATCAGGTTTTTCACAGAAAAAAGAAAAAATCAGACACAGATGTGTAAGATAGCTCTACAGAAACCCCCAAATCCTCTGGGTGCTGCAGGAGGATTAATCCTCGCCTGGTGTTCACTTTGTGTGAGCCTAACAAGAAAGGCTGTGTCTTCAAGCTTCTGCTGGCTGATGAAGACTAGCAGGGTAAAAGGGAATTAAGCCCACTGTCCCACTGGAAAAAAGACTGATTAACCTTACTGGTAGTGGAACAACTGAAGCATTGTTAGACAAAAACAAAGTCCAAATTATATCAAAAGATAAAATAAAATATAATATAAATCGTATGCAGTGTTTAAGTTGTTTTCATTTGTATAATACTGGGTTTTCTCACAGAATTTTTTTTCTTCATATTTTGTAACTGTGCCTCTGGCTGCAGATGAGTTTGAAACAGCAGCAATTATGGAAAGAAAGAGAGAGTGGAAGCGTTGCAGAGGAATGTGCAGTCACTTGATAAAACTAGAAAAAGGCTTACAGAAAATGAAATGAAACGCTGTTAATGCAAAATTCCAGATTCCTGCTGTTTGTACTTCATGCTTCAAACTTTGGCTGATAACTTTTCTCAGATCTGTATTGAAAATCAGCTTATTTTTGCCTCTTTGAAACATGAACTCTGATGGTTCAGGGCCCATGTTTGTTAAAATGAACATAGTTTATCATCCTTTTCATCGTTTAGATTTGTTTATTATATTTATTTTTGATTTTTGCCTTTTACTGTGATGTTTGTTTGATTTAGCAAAACAGACAAGATTAAAAAAAAGAAGCAGAGGAGCAGCAGCGCCCTCTGTTGCTTCATATTTAGAGGCAGATAACCAAGCAGATCAACCTTTTTTTTTTTTTCTATGAGCTGACTTATTCTACTATTTAGGGTTTGTTTGCACCCTCCTCCCTATTTTAGGCATAAATATCTCTAAACATCCTCCTCAGTTTTCCCAACAGTTTTACTCGCTTAAGGCCGAGAGGCTTTGTGAACTGCTTTTACCTTAGAAAGGTAAGATTCCGAGGCTTTAAGGTGCCTTGCAACAAAAAAAAGTACCCTACCCCAAAATGTTGATCTAAAACAGCAGGTCTGTCCCTCCTTCATGTTTTAGGAGCTTCTGTTTGGCACACCTGATTTTGCATTTTTCTCTTCAGCAGACATCAAGTCCCAGAGAAGTTTGTGGCAGCAGGAGGAGACATGCGGGAAAACAGGTTCTAATACAAAATATTGCTCTGATTTTTAGAAAAGTATTAGCTTATTTATTTACGAGGTGAAACACCGTCCCTGTGATCCTGTATCAGTCGCCGCTATGGACTCCTTCCACCGCCTGGATGTCAACATTGCTCAGGACCTCCAATGGGAGCTAAACATGAGCTCCCTAAACACGGAAGCACAGCAGAGGATGTACTTCCTTCAACAGCTGAAGAAGTTTGGCCTCCCAAAGGCAACAATGGTGCACTTCTACTTTGCCATCATTGAGTCCATCTTCTCCTCCTCCATCAACATCTGGTACACTGCTGCCCCATCCATGCAAAAGACAACGCTGAAAGAAAGGGTCTCCCTGGAAAGGGTGATCACTTGCAACCTTCCCTACATTCAGAAACTGTACAGCTCAGAACCTATAGGTGAGCAGGTAGGGTTATAGCTGTCCCCTCCCACCCTAGACACAAACTGTGTCAGACTCTCCTCTGACAGGAGGCTGTGGTCCATCAGGGTCAGAAGAGCCCATCAAACACAAAGCAGCTTCTGCTACTATCTCATAAACAAGGCTCAAGTCCACTAGCATCTTTCTGATTGGTGTAAAAATAAGATAAAAGAAACAAAAACCAAAAATACACACAACATCTACTGTAAGTACGTGTCTATTGCATGTAAAAATTTTTATCTAATTCTTTACTCTTGTCGTTTAACTTAAAGCACTATCGTTGCAGCAGAATCCTGAAAAACCAATTCATGCATTCATCTTTAGTAGAATTCAATTACTGAAGAATTATCTAAAGATTGGATCAGACAGCTGCAGCTGTTCCAGAATGCTGCTGGCAGCCTCCTCACTAAAACTAAGAAAGTGGAGAAAATCAGCCCAGTTCTAAAGTCCCTCCACTGGCTCCCTTTATCTCAGAGAAAAAACTTTATAATCCTTCTGTTAGACCATAAATCACTGAATAGTTGAGCTCCAAAATACATTACAAACTTGCTGTCAGTGGACCAGCCAGACCTCTCAGGTATTCTGACAAACATGAAGCAACAGTTTTTAGTTCTTATGTTCTTTGAATAATCCTATCACTTAAAGTTTTTATTTTCATTGATCAATATTTTACCTTTAATACTCACTTTTAACATAATTTTCTCTCCTCCCATGCCACTTTAATTTACTTTAGTCTGTGTGTTTTCCTATTATGTTTTCTTCATGTACAAATGTCATGTTTGAACTGTCTTGTACTGAAATATGGTATTTAAATAAATTAGTCTTCGATAAGCTGTAATTCTAACAAAAATGCGTGAGTTTAAATTTTACAGACCTAGATTTAGATCCTCAATATGATATGATCTTAAGATTTAAATTAAATATGATGTGCACAAATAAACATAGGGCTTATATTTAACATCACCTAGTGTAAAATGACGTATTTAAAGTCTGCTTCAAAAAGAGTTTAAATCAGGTTCCTACCATGCTGTGATTCTGGGAAGTAGACCACCAGTCGTCTGCTGGAGATATGAATGAAGAAATAGGGAGGAGGACGAGATCTCATTAGTGTCCAAAATGTTACAGTCTGCAGCCGAAGAGGAAGAACTAAGTGAAAAACACAGAAACTCTGTAAATGAGCAGTTTTCCTCCTTCTCAGAACCATAGTGGGCCCTGACAGAAACACATGCTTCAGTTCTGATCGGACCATAAAGAGGCCAGAGGTCGTCCGTCTGCGCTGAACAAAACCAGAAATGTTCTGAGACACAACAAGGACTTTTCTGGCTGGCCAGCTTGTTCCGTTCTTTTAATGGAGTTGACTCTGCATGTTCTGAATGAGTGTCAGGGGGATCAAACTGAGAACAGATGAGCTCTGTTTCTCTCAGGACAAGGGAGACACTTGTGTCCTTAGCAGATATATGCACATAGAAAGTTATGGGGAAAATCTACTGACGTCTCTTTTATGTTTTTAAATCAAACTTTTAAGTTGGGGAAAGAAAATGCAAGGCAAAGAAATGTTGGGGATTACAGTAATCCCCTGTAAACTTATTTACCCCCAAGACTTTCAATAGCATCCATGCAGTACCTCAGATCAAAAATCCTAAATGAATCCTTAAACTTACATTTAAAGATACAGAGTGTAAAATTAAAAGCCTTCTACTGTTTCTGCTCTCTTTTGTCTGCTCTAAAAGATGTTTAGCATGATTTCAAGCTAAGTCTGCCCCCGTTAACCAAAAGCCTTAATAAAAACTAAAAGGCAAGATTTTTTTAAGGTTTAAATCTGTTTAGATCAGGGTTCTGTATCCTTTCTCATTCAAAGACACATTTTTTCCTGAATCCAGCTAAGTAAAAATCTTTTAGCGCTGCAAAGTATTACATGAATTATAACTAAACGATAAGCGATTACTTTTGTTAAGCATCTGCCAAAGGAAATTAGTTGTCATCTTAAAGAAAAGAGCTTTTCAAACATGGAAAGAATAAAAATGAAGATCTGGTGCCTTGAGATGACATGTGTTGTGAATTGGTGCTATAGAAATAAACTGAATTGAATTGAAGAATGAATTTTCTTCTATTGGCTATTATTTGATGTAAAGAATTACAATAATAAATACAGAATTTTAAATAATAAAAAAAAAAATATATATATATATATAATTTTAATGTTCTAATTAAAAACCAATAAATCTTCTAAAATTGGGATTTGTTATTATTGTACATTAGTTTTTTATTTTTAGCAATTATTAGGAGCAATTTTAGAGGGTTTAAAGAGCCAATTGCACCTCCATAGCCAGAGGTTGCAGACCTCTGATCTAAATGTTACATAAACAGATTTAAACAAAGCCATCAAGGTCTAATTCATTGGGATGTACAGGTTGTCCTATCGTGTATTTGACTTACGAAACTTTATACAACAGTAAAGGTGCTTTCATGGATTTTCCTGCATCTAACATACAATAAAAAAGTAACTTTCATTCTCTGGTATCATATGAATAGGCTTTAACTATCTAGACAAAATTTGCTAGACCATTCAGAGCAGAGGTGGAAGTCTGAGTGGCTTTTAGCAGCAGAGTTACTTTTAATGCAGCAGCGCTTTTCTATATTAGTGAAGATGACGGAAAAAACTTTATTGATTTCCTTTATTATATCCTGCTCTAAGGGCTTTTCTTTTAAAAAAGACCATTTTGAATCACATGCGTTGTTATCTGATTGGGTCTAACCTGGTTTCACTGACCCTGGATATATATTTACTTAATCTTTTTTCCTATTATGTAAATCAAAGCAAAAAATGTTTTTGGTTCAAAATAAATCTCTTCTAGGAGGTGACTCGTTTCTCCGGTTTTATTTAAATAATTAATTAGCAATATTAAAAGATCCAAATTAACTTGTAAGTTGACCAGATCTGTATTTATTACTGAGGCGCAGAGCCTTTAATAACTGAATAACATAGAAATGTGGAACTGTGAGGGCCTGAATTCAGGCAGTCTGTTGCTTCACCTTGCTGTGACACCAAAACACATAGTACAGAGAAAGATGACCGCAGGGGGTGTGGAACCCGGGACTTTTGTGATGGAAGACTCGTCGTTCCAGTGTACAGGTCCAATTGGTCTTTTGTTCTGAATTTTTCTTTTTTTGGGGATTACAGTAATCCCCTGTAAACATATTTACCCCCATGACTTTCAATAGTATCCATGCAGTACCTCAGATCAAAAATCCTAAATAAATCCTTAAACTTATATTTAGAAATTGGGGGAGTAAAGTTAAAAGCCTGTTTCTGCTCTCTTTTGTCTGCTCTAAAAAGACGTTTAGCATGATTTCGAGCTACAGTAAGTCTGCCAACCACAAGCCTTAATAAAAACTAAGAGTTCTGAATTTTTCTTTTTCTGGGCTGCCAATGTGTAGCGCCCGGGGAGCAGTCTGGGGATGAGGGTTTTGCTAAAGGTGCCTGATTGGTATTATTGGATGTGAGTGTTATGTGTGAATGTGTGTCCGCGTTGTTATTTTCTTTATTTATTATTATTATTATTTTATTCAATTTTTTTTTTTTTTTTTTATTTTTTTTATTTTTTTATTATTTTTTTTTTTTTTTTTTCTCTGTGGTA